TATGAAAAAATGTTCAACATCACTTGTAATCAGGGAAATGTAAATCAGAACTACAATGAGGTACCATCTTACACCAGTGAGAATGGCACATATTAAAAAACTAGCAACAAATGTTGGCGAGGGTGTGGAGAAAAAGGAACTCTCCTGCACTGTTGGTGGGAGTGCAAACTGGTCCAACCACTATGGAGAGCTGTGTGGAGATTTCTTGACCTACTAAACATAGAGCTTCCATATGATCCAGCCATTCCACTCCTAGGTATTTACCCAAAGGACACAGAAACATCAATTCCAAAGAGCACCTGCACCCCTATGTTTATAGCAGCACTGTTTACAATAGCTCAGCTTTGGAAACAACCCAAATGCCCAAAAATAGATGACTGGATCAAGAAGATGGGGTACATATACACCATGGAATATTATTCAAAAAAGATAAACACATGCAATTTGCAGCAACATGGATGGCGCTGGAAGGGATCATGCTCAGCGAAATAAGCCAGAAAGAAAAAGAAAAATACCGGATGGTCTCACTCATAGCAGGAATCTAGAAAACTTAAACAAGGGACCAGGAAAAAGAATAACTATAAGAAAGAAAATATCAAAATTGACAAACAACTATGAACCAGAGACACTCTATGGCGGGTGGCGGGCAGGGAAAGGAGGGCTTGGGGTCAAAATAAGGGGGTTGTAATTGTATGGGGAATATAAAAAATAAAATTTAAATTAAAAAATTAAAAAATAAAATATGTGTATATAAAAAAAAGAAAAAGCTGCTATGAACATTGATATATATAAAAAAATAAGGTGTTGAGATCTTTTGCAATAATCCTCCTGAGAAAGGCCAATGTTAACGTGAAAGCTAGCATTATTTCAAACTTGAAGTATTAGTACAGAGGAGATGGGCATGGGAAAGACAAGGCAGAAAGATCAGGAAAAGTGGACTTGTCTGGATGGAGGGCCATTGTACAGTGTTTTGTTGAAGGTGTTTGAGTGATGTGATCATGATTTTCTTTTTTTGTTTGTTTAAAGATTTATTTATTTATTTATACAAGCACTGGGTATAATAAGAAGCATGGGAGGGTGAGAGAATTCACCAGAGCCAGAGCAGGGAACAGAACAGGTAGACGGACGGACTGACGGAGGACACTGCTGAGGGGAGCAGCGGGCGTGGCAGGAGAGGTTTGCGCGCCATGTGGGACCCTCGCCGGTGGCCGGGGATTGAACTGGCACTGCAGAGACTGCAGGCAGCTTCACAGCCCAGTGCTCAACCGCTGCGCCACTGGGGAGGCCCTGGTCATGATTTTCAACAAAGATTCAGCCTGTGCTTTTGAGTCCCCCCTCTCTGTGCTGGATACTGACCCGGGTGCTGAGCCCTGAGCCCTTCTTTTGAACGTACATTTCAGGGGAGCTACTTGGGAAGATGAATGCTGAGAGTATCAGCATTTATTTAAATCTTTTGGTGTTTGTCATATGACTTATGCCCCTTTGGTGTCTATCTAGTGTGTGAGGTCAAGAATCTGTTTCACACCTACACAAGAATCCTTATGCAAGGTAAAAATTTGTTGTTTCTGGAACACTGGAGAAAATTTTGCAGCAACAAATTTCAGTAGCAAGAGATTTTTTGTCTAACATAAGATTCCATATTTCCTGCAAAATATAACTTTAGGGGACAAGTCTAAAGATCCAGAGAAGAGGAATTTCCAACCTTTGTCCACTCTTCTGCCTCCATTGCATTACCTTTGACTTTGCCTTTCCCGGGATCGTTAGCACGTCTCTTTGCCTGCACTTTCAAACCCGGTTGTCTTTCCTTCTGTTTCCTGTTCAACCAAACTGCTGTTTCCTAAAAGTTATACTTCTACTCTCTAGATTGGAATTTACATTCCATTTTCCCCAGAGATCAATATTTCTTTCCAGAAGCTGAAGAAGTTGGCTGCTCAGGGAGAAAAGACTAAGGAAGCAAGTGAGGAGAGAACTACATTCTGTTCACAAATAAGCGTCCCCACCTACGAAGTGTCAGCGCCGCAGGTGATATAGAAAGAGGGGGCGTGCTGTCCCGCCATGAGGAAGTGACACTCTGTAAGGAAAGGAAAACCCCATGTGGGTTTTTCTAGTGTTCTCTGGTCCTGAATGTCTAGCGTGTTTCAGACACTGAAACATGGGGATAGAGCAGTGAATGAAACGCATTCTGGTCTCATGGAACCAACATTCCAGTGAGTCAGGAGAAACCAGCTAGTCTTGAACGCCAGGAAGAAGACTAATGCAGGCTAACTGGTTGGAGAGGAAGTGGGGATCAACTTAGCTAGTCTGGCCAGGAAAGGGCCATCCGACAAGGTGACGCTTGAACTGACCCATGTGAAGTTAGGGAACAGGTCAGATCCCAGGAGCAAAGCGTTCCTGGTAGAGCAGCCAGTGCAAAGGCCCTGAGGTGGGCGGCCTTTTAGTGGGAGGGGTAACTCTGGAGAGGTGGTCAGAGAGGGCGTGGGAGAGGGGCAATTGTAAAGCCCAATGGCGTATGTTCAGTGTTTGATGGGAAGCTATTTGAGGGTTCCCAAGAGGCAGGATTGCTCTGCATTACCTTTAAGAAAGACTGCTGCCTGCACTGTCCAGTGCCAGGGCAAACGGGGAGCCCAGTGAAGAGGCACCTGGTCACCCAGGAGTGAGAAGGTGGTTTGCACCAGGAGGTAATGGTGGTGCTGGGGAGAAGCCATGAGATGCTGGACACATTTCAAAAGTAGAGCTGACAGGGTGGACAGAGGGGCAGAATAAGAGAAGAAAGTCAAAGGTGACTCCACAATCATCTGTGAAAAGTTGCTTGTGGAAGTGGGTCCAGATCTGGAGTGTGCTCAGAGGCCTCCCATGCAGAAGGAGCTTAAAAGCAGCTCAAAAAAAGTGATTTTATAAGAAATAACACAATGTGACATATACAGACATATCTAAGGCAGAGTTATGGTCTCACTCCAGTCCTGAAAAATATGTCTGTAGTCCACCCCCTGCAGAGCGGGTGGTTTGTCCTAGCCAAAGCCAATGGGCTGGTGACCCGTGGCCCGGGGAGGCTGGCTGCTCATGCAGCCGCGTTGACATTGTTGAAGACGTGGTTTTTATGTGGCGCTTACTCCTCAATTACTATAATTCCAGTCTTACCTGCGTGTTTCCTGAGAAACAAATTAGAAGTCCTGCTCATGTCCTGGTGCAGTTGACATTGGTACAAGAATCACTGTGTTAAAGGTGGCCTGTTCTTGCAGCTAATGCAGTTGTCTAGTCTAACTAGAAAGTTGATAAAATGTATCGGTATGTTATCTATATATTGAATGGGTATATACATAATTTCATTTTTCTTTCAATGCCCTGAAAATGGTAAAGAATTTAGTCAAACTGAAATCCACATGACATTTGCAGGACTCCACCTGTACCCCAGAGCTTTGTAGGGAACCCACAAGGCCTGGGCCATGCGCTGAGGATTCCGTCCGTAATAGAGCTGCGGACACGGGTGCCACATCCACAGGACTCCAATGGAGTGCTTTGACTTTGACCAAGAAATCGTATTCTTGTTTTCTGCTTTGGCTAATTTTATCAGCCAGGAGCTTGTCTTCCTTTGCGTCAGAATGCCTGCCAGGCTGCCCAGGCGACTGCGGCCCCTGGGGAGTGAGCTTCCCAGCGGTGGGTGTCTGCTCTTTGGGGTGTGCTCTAAGTTCACGTGCTGGGTCTGCCACCAGCGAGTTCTGGCTCTTTGGGTCAGTGATTTGGCCTCTCCTGATGGTTTCTTTGTCATAAAGTGGAGATGCTAAGCCACCTGCCTGTTGAGTGGCTGTGAGGATTAAATGGGTGCGCACACAGAAAGCTCCCCGCCTGGAGTCAGTGCTCCGCCACGCTGGCTGTTATTTCGGTCTTTGCTTCGGCTACCATCTGTGTGGGAGGCAGTGTTCTTTCTAGAACCTTGTCTCCTTGTCACATGAGTATGTGCAGCGTGAGCTTCTTAATACTCTGTCAGCATTTGAGGTTGGAACATAAATGCGTGGCTGTACCCAGTGGAATCCAGCAGAGCGCGGACTGCGCACCATAGCAACTGTTGCTGTTTGTGTCCTGAGCAGCAGCTGCCCTGGACAGACATATTTTTTAATCCTGATCTCACGATAGCCTGGGGTATGGCCCTGCCTTAGAGACCAGATTGGTTGATGAGTCTGGCCCTTGAAGAGATTTCACGACCACATGTTAGGAAGATTCTATTCCATGTGAAACATGAGATGCTGAAGCTTTGCGTGTATGAGGAGGGAGGAGAGGCCCCACATCTGTCCATTCTGAAGTGCAGTGTGCCTGGAGTGGCCCCGCGAGAAGGCTCTTAACATGGGCAGGGAGAAGGCCTGCTTTCCAGTTTGAAACTCATTTTGCTGTTTATAGCATTCTGCAGTAGCTTGTGATTCCAGTGTGTCCACACACATGCACGTGTGTCCATGTGTACAAGCCTATTTAGTAACCCAGGTGTCAGTTACTATTAGCTGTGGGTGCCAGAAACAAGGCTTTTTCCAGCGAGTGCTTATTACCAGGTGCTTTTCTGAAATAGATAACTAGATCTTTAAAATCTTTGCTTCAAATAGTAGCTAGGTTTATTTAAAAAAATTTCTAATTTTTATTTCTAATGTGTTGAAACATGTCAGGATTTAGGAGGTACCTTGAAATGGTAGCGTTTCTGTTACTATTACTTATCAAGATTTAGCATTTCTAAGTTTCAGTTGCAGACTCTGCAGGATTTAGCCACATAATACTCACCCGGCCCTCGAGGTCTCAGGCTCAGGTCTGAATCCTGGGCACACCCAGTGAAGGGTGTTGCTTCGACTCTCTTCACGTCTGTGTGTAGATGCCTGCTCAAAATATGGGTGCTTTTTGAATTGCCCTAGTAAGAGTCACTGGCTTGAATTGACTGATCTAGATGTTTTGAAGTCACAACATAGCATCTGAAGAACCTGTAACTGGATGATTTGTAAAATTAAAACCTTCTCATCTCCTAGGTATTATTAACCCAAAGAACCCAAAGGAAGCGCCAAAGTCCTTCAGCTTCGACTATTCCTACTGGTCTCACACCTCGGTGAGTGTGCCTGTGGGCCGTGTGAGTGTGCCCATGTGCCCCGTGAGTGTGCCCGTGTGCTGTGAGTGTGCCCACGTGCCATGAGTGTGCCCACGTGCACTGTGAGTGTGCCTGTGTGCTGTGTGAGCGTGCCCATGAGCCGTGTGAGCGTGTCCATGAGCTGTGTGGGAGCGGGAAGAAAGGGAAGGGACATCACCACCTTCTGAGGATGTGAGGCAGAGAGCCCTTGGCACACCCTCGCTCAGAGCAGGATCCGACTCGGGGCGCCGTCCTTGTGCCGGGCAGTGTCTGTTCAGTCATGTCCCGTGTCTCCCGTGCTCTCCCGTGCTGGCGCGGAGAGGTTTTAAACTCCTGACAAAGCCCAGTTGCCAAGGGCAGGGCCCTGAAACAGGGGTGGGAAACGTTCGTCACTGAAAACTGTTTATTGAGAAATAGCCTTATTATCTGGAGCTAGTTAAGAGGAGTGTTTTTATATAGAGACTTGACCTTTGGTCTTTTAGTCTCATTTTCCACTAAAAATTTTTCCCTTGGGGCTCACTATGAACAAAAGGGTGAAACTTAAGGTTATGGAAAATGAAATGTAATCAGGCTAGAAAATTTCATGTAAGTATTTTTATCTCTGACCTTACTGAGTAATAGTGCCCGTGTGTACATGTGTGTTCTTAATGAGAAAAATAAATTGTGTGGAGAGACTTAAAAATTTTTGGCATATTTTAGGGGGCTTCTCACTCTAAAATCTTGTTTGTTATAGAGGTAATGAAACAGCATGGGAAGGAATGTGAGTCGAATGCCACTTGCTTATACTGTCCTTCTTCTGCAGCCTGAAGATCCCTGTTTTGCATCTCAAAACCGTGTGTACAATGACATCGGGAAGGAAATGCTCTTACACGCCTTCGAGGGGTACAATGTCTGCATCTTTGCCTATGGGCAGACTGGCGCTGGCAAGTCTTACACAATGATGGGTAAACAAGAAGAGAGCCAGGCTGGTATCATCCCACAGGTAAAAACAAAACGTCAAAACCTCAGTTCAAATTATTCTTTGTCTTCAGTTGCTTTCACAATTATCATATGTATGTTTATTCGGGGAGTCTCTTATGCAAGGCACAGAGAAAAATAACCTGCCCCACTTCTCTCAGAGGCGCTGAAAGTCCCCTGCAGAAGATAGGGGTGTGCTTGGCTGCTGTGAAGGCGGGAGCTTATCGTTGAATCAAGTCGTTTTAGCTCGTGAACAGTGTCACACGCTCCTTTTCAAAGTGCTGTTGTGAACAGATGCTGTCCTGATGCTGGGGACACCTATGAATGATGTGGGCCTGATTTTTCCCCCAGTTTCATATGTAGATCACCTCTGAAGAAAGTAACTGTTTTTCGCTTTTTATTGCCTCCCTTGGGGATACTATTAGCGTCGTTTAACACTATACTTTTAACTCAAGCACCCTGTGACTTCTCTCTTTTTGAGAGCACTTAGTCCTTTGAGTTGTAGTGTTCCGGAGTGGCGAAGAGCTGCACATTTAAAAGGAACTTCCTTTGTCAATAACAGGAATGCTGTTGGCTTTTATTAGTGATATTTGGAGTTAGTTTTAAAGTATTGTTTTACTATAGGCGTCGGTGATGATCTGTTTTCTGAGAATAAAATACATAAGGGAGCATTAGCTACCTTTTCTAATGGATTATTGGGCTATAGCTTTGAATTCAGCAATGTAATTGAAATGCTTAATTATTAATAAAGATTGGGAAAGTTTCAGGAAAAAATTGAACATGCTAGACTTTTTTTCCTGTAAAAATTGTATTTACTGTAAGATATATTTGGGAATTATCCTTCTTTGTATATAGTAGTAGCTCTCATACTAATTGGAGAAACAGTTGCATCAAGCACAGTTCTAAGGGCTTTATAAATACTGGCTCTTCTAATCCTCATATGAGCCTAAGAAGTAGATGCTGTGGTTACCCCCATTTTACAGATGAGGAAATGGAGCCACAGAGGTCGTGTCACTCCCCAAGTGAGTGGCAGAGCCAGGATTCAGACTCAGGCGAGGCAGGCTGGGGTCTGTGCTTTCGCTCCTCTGGGGCACGTCTTTGGCAGGAAGCGTCAGCAAGTGAGACTGAGCAGTCCCGCCTGGTTCATCCCATCCCGCCATATTGAGTCTCCCTCCTGTGCCTTTGATTGTTTTCTTACTAGAATTCTTATAGGATTACAATGTGTGGTTTTTTCCCCTTGGTAAAATTTTGGAATATTTTAAGACAAAAACTTAGATTTTTAAAAAATGATTACTTACAAACTGTCATTTACAATATACAATATATTTTAAATTCTGTTTAGTTTTCAAGGGAATCACAACCATATACTCCATTTTCCAATGGTATATTGATTGCCTTAATGCTAAAGTATAGCAAGAGAAAATTCAGTAGATGTTCATTGTTCTTATTAAAATGTTGCATTTAAAATAAGTTCAAGGCATAGGAAGAGTGAAATTTTATAGTTTTCCTGATCAAGAAAAATTTATGTTTCCATTAGAAATAGCACTCTGTGCTGGAGGGGCATCTTGTTAAAGGGGCAAATTTTACGGACTCAAAATTAGTCATGAAAATGCATTCATTTACCCCCTGCAAATGCAGTGATTCTCTTTATAGATAAGTAATTATAAATTCATGACACCTATAGTAACTGATAACATAGAGTAACAGAATTTATAATAAGTAATATATATGCAAACCATAGTCTCTTAGTAGTTTTACTGCCATGATAACAGCCGGGACACCACGTCATGGGTTGCTGGCAGGAAGAGTTGAGTTCGCATCAGCTACATGTGCTGGGGCTATGAGCCCGTAAAACAAGCTTCCTCCTCCTCTTCCCCTAAATGCAACTTTTTTCCAAGGTGACATTGTTGAGATGTTAATTGTTGAGGGAGAAAGATTAGATGAGAAGATGAATTAAAAACTGCTTTTATTCATTAACCTTTGGTGCTGATGCTGTTGATATTTTAAGAAAGAGAAAGGGGTCTTGTAACTTAGTGCTTCTCTGACTCACGCTCCCCATGCCTCTCTCATTCTGCTTCTCTAGTTATGTGAAGAACTGTTTGAGAAAATCAATGACAACTGTAATGAAGAAATGTCGTACTCTGTGGAGGTGAGTGCCCTCGGGCCAGCCAGAGCCTGCGTCCTGCCCAGACATCGCATGACACAGGCCCTGTCGTCGTACCAGTTTTGTGCTTTTAGGCTGCTTCTGAGTTTGAGTCTTAATGAATGAATGAGGTTGCAGTTAGTCCTTGTTCTTGTCTTTGACTTTATTTTCAAATAATATATTTAAATTAGTATATTTAAATTGCCAAATAGCCTTTTAGAAATAAAAGCTCACCAGTTTTCAATCCCATTAGGCACCCATTGTTCCCTTGCCAACATTTATTATCTTCAATTTTTAATCTTTGCCACTTGATAAGGGAAAGTGTCTCACTTTTGCTTAAATTAGAAATTTGATGGTTATTGTGGTTGAGCCTGTTGTAAATTATATTATATGCCTGTTTTCATTTGGGGATTGTGAAGAAGAGTCACTGTGCGACTCTTCTTTAATATTACAAATGATGATTTTGACAGGCATAGGATTTACTATATATGTACATATGTATATACACACACATATAAAATTAAATAAAATTAAAATTAAATCTTTCTTGAATCATGTGACAAAATTTTTTTAGTCCATTCAAAGTCACCCCTCTATACGAGGGCTCCGTCAAAATACTGCAGCAAGCCTGTCGGTGACTTTTGGGGCAGCGTGCTCTTACTCTGTACCCCACAAAGGCTCAGGGACCAGGTTCAAAAGTGATGGTACTTTCAGCAGTTAACGTGGATGGCCAGCATGGTGGAGAAAGCCAGGGAGATTCATGTGTTCTGCCACAGGCAAGGGAAATCCACCCTGAATTCAAAGATTAAGACATGGAATGTGGCAGTAAAGTCAGTCTGGAGGGAGAGATGGTGAGCCCATCAATTTTGAACAACTTTTTTAGAATACAGTGTAAAAATACAGTTTAAGGCCAAGCGTAAGACAATAAATATGGAGATAAGGGCCCATTTTGGATACTCTGAAGATGTGTCTATAGAAATTTGAGGTTGGACAGGCACAGGCTGTATGGCATGTTTCAGGGCTCAGTGACCTGGGGGTGTCCGGTTCCTGGGGCAGCAGCATGACGAGGCTCACTGCTTTGAGCTTACCCAGTTCAGAACCTCTTTTGCTTAGAAGTCTGATCCTGTGGCTACATCAGGAACACAGAACCATCTTTCAAAATCAGTCTCTAGAATGATACTCGTTCAGCTCGTACAGCCTGTGCCTGTCCAACCTCAAATTTCTATAGACACATTTTCAGATTATCCGAAATGGACCCTTATCTCCATTTCTATTGTCTGGTGTTTCAGCATGTGGCCTCGTGGCCTTCAGGAAGCACCCTGCCAGCACCGTCACTCAGCCCCCTGGTCTGTTACCGTCCTGTGGGCAGTCTTCTGTAGGAATGCTGTTTGTTTTGGTGAGGGAACTATAGGGACAGGGGTTATTTAGACAAATTAAGATTAGGAAAAGACGGCTTGTTCACCCCCAGGAGAGGATGGTCCCTGCTGATGGGGCAGGAACACGCGTGAGGTGTCGCTGAGGCTCACTCCTCCCACAAGATGTGGCAGGTCCACCGCGTGCTCAGGTTGCCTCGGCCAGTCCTGCCCCTCTGGTCGAGATAACTAGTCACAGTGTGAGCAGTCTCAAATCCCTGTCTTGGCCCCTCTCGTTTACCTGCTCTGGAATACTGGCAGTGTTCCCTGCTTTTAGCACTGAGCTTAAGCCACGCTTTTGGGTGACCCCACTGTAGTTCCCGGTTATTGACGGAGTGTACATCGTTGAGGGAAAAAAGCCACTGCTAAGTTTCTACTAAAAATATTTTGGGCCTCCCCGGTGGCGCAGCGGTTGAGTGCTGGGTTGCGAAGCTGCCCGCGGCCTCTGCGGCGCCGGTTCAATCCCCGGCTGCTCCCCGGCCACCGGAGGAGGGTCCCGCATGGCGCGCAGACCTCTCCTGCCGCCCGCTGCTCCCCTCAGCAGTGTGCTTCGGTCCTGCTGCCTGCTCTGCTCCCCACTCTGGCTCTGGTGAATTCTCTCACCCTCCGCGCTTCTGACTGTACCCAGTGCTTGTATAAATAAATAAAAAATAAATAAATCTTTAAAAAAAAAAAAAAAATAAGAACTTTAAAAAAAAAAATATATATTTTTTTGCCTAAGACAAGTAGTAGTCATGTGGTGTTCAGAGCCTGCCGGGTCGCGCTTCTCTTGCTGCAAAGGACAGAGGCTGTTTCCGTGAGGCTGTTCGTGGGCGGGCGGCCATCGTGGCGTCACGCTCTGTCACGGCCCATGACCTCGAACTGTAGCGTTTCTAATAAAAGTTTTTAGAAGTAATTTAATGTATATGGATTTTTTTCCTGAACTGTAATATTTGTTCTCAGGTGAGCTACATGGAAATTTACTGTGAAAGAGTTCGAGATTTGCTGAATCCAAAAAAAAGGGTAATTTGCGTGTGCGGGAGCACCCTCTTCTTGGCCCGTACGTGGAGGACCTCTCGAAGTTGGCGGTCACTTCCTACACGGACATCGCCGACCTCATGGATGCTGGCAACAAGGCCAGGTAGGGCAGGAAGAGGCGCATCAGCAAGGTCTCTGGCACGTCTCGAGGCCAGTTGTTCCTGGCTAAGGATTTGAGACGCCGTCTGCAGCTACTCAGGCTGCATGCTGGAGCAGGAGGGGCTTCAGCACATTAAGCATCTTTCTTTTTATCAAAACAACACACTGCTGGCCTCCCCAGTGGCGCAGCGGTTGAGCACTGGGTTGCGAAGCTGCCCGCAGCCTCTGCAGTGCTGGTTCGATTCCCGGCTGCTCCTCAGCCACTGGAGGAGGGTCCCACATGGCGCGCAGACCTCTCCTGCCGCCCGCTGCTCCCCGCTGCAGTGTACTTCAGTCTGCCTGCTCTGCTCCCCGCTCTGGCTCTGGTGAATTCTCTCACCCTCCCGTGCTTCTGACTGTACCCAGTGCTTGTATAAATAAATAAATAAATCTTAAAAAAAAAACACACTGCTGAGACACCTAGAACTTTCATTAAGTTTTATCGTGAGGATTTGATCAAGTCTTGGCTAAATGGTCATCATCGTGTGCTTTTGGTTCTAATTGATTCAGCAATAAATGAGCATCCAATAAAGAATAAAAAGTAAATGCCTCACTGATTCCTAAAGGGACAACTGAAGTATGAAGCATGATTCTGATGGGGCGCCTTTGGGGTCGGAGGATAACTTGATGGTCCCCAGATAAGGTGTATTGAGTGCGATTGTGTAAGTGACAGCCTTGCGGCCTGTGAAAGCGGTTAAAGCTCTCGCTTGTGATTGTTAGGTCTATAATGTGGAAACTGCTGTCATTTTCATTTCCTTCTTAAGAATACCATTGTCATGTGATCGCCGTCTTTCTGTAGGACGGTGGCAGCTACCAACATGAACGAGACCAGCAGCCGTTCCCATGCTGTGTTCACCATTGTTTTCACCCAGAAGAAGCAGGATACAGAGACCAACCTTTCCACCGAGAAGGTAGGAGAACTGCAGTCTCTGGGCCTGAGTTGTGAAGGATGGGAATTTTCAGAAAATCCCTCTTGCTCTCTATGTTGTGTGGAAGGGAGGAAAGTGGCCCTTTCCTTCATAGGCTGTGTTTTATGTCTTCTGCTGATCATTTTTATTCCCTCTAAACCACTTCTGAGCATGGGTTCTTAAGTAAAACTGCAGAACAAAAAATGAGGTTAATGGGCCTCTCTGGTGGTGCAGCTGGTTGAGCACAGCGCTGTGAAGCTGTCTGCAGCCTCTGCAGCATGTGTTCGATTCCCAACTGGCCAGGGAGCTACCCACATGGCACGGCAGACCTCTCCTGTCTCGCCCACTGCTCCCCTCAGCAGTGCTTTCAGTCCGCCTGCCTGTTCTGCTCCCTGCTCTGTCTCTGGTGAGTCTTCTCACCCTCCCATGCCTCTGGTCTGTATCCCCAGCTCGTGTATAAATAAAAAAAAATAAATCTTAAAAAAAAAAAAAAAAAAAGAAAGAAAATGAGGTTAAGATGTGGCACAAGGGACTGAGACACAACCTATGAAGCTGTCTGCAGCCACTGAAGCACGAGTTCAATCCCCGGCCAGGGAGCTGACCCACATGGCACAGCAGACATCTCCTGTCTCACCTGCTGCTCCCTCAGCAGTGGACTTCAGTCAGTCTGCCTGTTCTGTTCCCCACTCTGTCTCCGGTAAATCCTCTTACCCCCCACACCTCTGGCCTGACAACTGTATGCATAAATAAGTAAATCTTTAAAAAAAAAGAAAAAATAACTCAAAACTTTGCAGTGTATGGAAGAGCACTTATTTATTCTAAAATTGCTTCCTTTGAACCATACTAGTTGCCATGAACTTTTGTGCTGTTCTTTAAATTGACTGTAGTATGTTGTCTTCTTATACCACCTAGGAGTCCTAGGTAACCATTTTAGTCTTCTCCATGCCTTCATCTTTTAATTTCCTCCCTTTACATGTTTTTTGTTTTTCCCCCTATTTCTGCCTTGCTTATTTTCGAATTGTGCCAGTGTTGTTTTCCTTTATCAGGTCAGTAAAATCAGCTTGGTGGATCTAGCAGGAAGCGAACGAGCTGACTCAACTGGTGCCAAAGGGACTCGATTAAAGGTATTTATCCTACCAAATCGATGAGAGTCCCATAGCACAGGTCAGCAAACCATAGCCAGTAGGCAAATCTGGCTGCCTGCCTGTTTCTGTAAATGTAATCTGGACACAGCTCATCTGTGGCTGCCCTCCTATCCAGTGGTGCAGGGCTGGGCAATTGTGACAGAGACCAGGTAGCCCACAAAGCTTTTACAGAAAAACTTTGCTGACTCTGATCTGTGACTTCAGTAAAAGGACATGTTATGTAACATGGTAGTTCAGGAGGACCTCATGGTCAAGGTGAGGATTGAGTTGTATTTTGAAGAACAGGCAGGACTTGGCTAGGTGGAATTAAGAGACAGTGGTGGGGAAGGAAGTGTGGCTCCAGGTGTGAGGGCGCGCATGCCCTTGTCCAGAGATGGCACTTAACAGGGCCAGAAGTGCCTTGCTGGTAAGTTGTGTGAAGAAGGCTCCAGTTGTAGGTTTTTTCAGCACAAGTTTCTTGAAGGTACTTCAAGACTCCCCTGACGACATGCTTGGAAAGGAGGAGGAAAGATTGAGGATTAAAGACGCTTTAGGACTTGTGGTCACCAATGCCAAATAAAATTCGCCTGTGGCTGATTGGATCTTATGTCTTAATGTATGATGCGTCAACAGTAGAAAATCTTCCTCCTAATTCTTTCATGTTTGGTATTGATTTCAGGAAGGAGCGAACATTAATAAGTCTCTCACAACTTTGGGCAAAGTCATTTCCGCCTTGGCAGAGGTGGTAAGTGCCATGCACCCATCGTGGGTGGGTGGAGGGTGGGTCCAGCAGGCTGCCTGGCAGGATTTTATGTTCCTGTAGGAATACTGGCCTTTCTCCTTTTGGAACTTTTCAGATAAGATACTCGCTTTGACTTGTACTGAAAGGAAAAGAGATTAAGGAGAAGGAAGTAAACATAGACCGATGAAGGTTAGAGCAAAGCCTAAGGTGTGACTGAGGTTTGAATACTTTATTCTGATGTTCTCAGGATAAAATTTTATTTTATTGTTTTTAATCAAATTTTTTTGTTTTACATTCATTTTCATAACTGGATTTTGGGGAGGCCCAGGTCACACCTCAGCGTGTGCACAGGCCTCCCTTGCCACCACCAGCGCTCCAGTGCCCTCCTGTGTGACCCCACCAAACTAAGTTATTTTTGTTGTGTTTTGCCAGTTTATATTCTTTCTTTATATTCTACCAGTGAGTGAAAGCATCTGGTAATTGTCTTTCACTTTATGACTGACTTCACTTCACGAGTCCCCTCTTGAGATCCCTCCATTTTGTCCCAACAGTCACTATTTAGAAGCCAAGTCTGCTCCACTGAGTGTGTAGTATAATTTCTTCATCCAGCCATCTGTCTGTCTGTCGCTGATTGGGGGATGGGGCAGTATTACAGTCTTTGGAGAGTTTTATTCTTTCCTATTCCTTAACAGTGGAACCCTAAGATGGAAATAATTTTTACAGAAGAGACTGCATTATTTAGCCTAGAAGTTAAGGAAGTATTAATCATTCTGTGCACTAAATTATTTCAGAACTTCAGTTTTCCCTAAAAGAATTAAATGCTTTCTTGTTTGTCTCTGAGAAGTCATTTTCAATTTATGACATAAAATTTAAACCAGTTATTTCCTATGCTTATGTTGTGTTCTCATTCTCTCTTTTAAATGCTTTCATCTGTAGGATAACTGCACCAGCAAGGTACGGTGGGATTTGTAGAAATGAACTAGCTGCAGAAACTTTTCGATGATTTTAAATCCTCAGAGGATGTGTGGAAGCATCATAGTAGTAATAAAACCTCCAGAAAGCTTTTTGCCATTTGTTTTGTGGCTCTGAAATTTAGACTTGCTGTTTAGAGTGACCATGAATCATGAGGTTTCACACCAACATTAATTTTCAGGAACACGATGTGATTTGGGGAAGGAATTCAGAATAAAGGAACAAGAGTGAAATTTGAGGAAGTGTTTGTACCGTATGATCTTGCATGTCTCTCCTAGTGATCCGCAGGACTGGCACTTCCAGTGTCCTGGATACCTGGAAGTGTGATGGAGATATGTCTTAGGGCACCATTCTAAACAGACCTGGCTTCTTGACATCATTAGTATGTTTTTCTTAAGCCTCTTTGTATTATCTGTCCTTATTTCTTACCATGAAAAGTCATAGATTATTTAAATTGTTTAAAAACAGTTTTTTCTACTCTTTGGTTATACCTAAAACATATTATTTGCTCCCTTTTTTAAATCTAAATACCATAGATTTTTCTGTTTCTTATATTTCAATATAGACACCAAACTGTAGAGGTGGCTTCTACGTGACTGATGGAGCCCCCGGCAGTCTGTTCTGAGTCACATGAGTAGAACTGGGACTGTGGCAGCCTCTGCACTGAGATGCTTTAGGCTGATATTTTCAAATATGTGGATTTATTGATTTTCTGCTTCCACACACACACACACACACACACAAATGCCCTTTTTCTGTTTTTCTCTGTTAATTAGAAAAATCTGCCTTTGATTTAAAATATCCCACCTGCTCTTTGCTATTATATACGTGTGACTCTCCCTCGCATAGCTAATCTGGGTCCCAGAACCAGGAAGACTCAAAACTTGGTGATCCTCCAGCGTGTCCATCTGCCCGCCTGATAGCGCCCGTGTCAAACAGGGAGAGTCTCATGTGTTCATCCGTGTATCTCCCACATGACTGTGCCACAATCATGGTTCACACATGGTTTTTATAATCATTTTTATTAACTACTGTTTAGTACTTTGCATTGATTTCATAACTATAACATCAAAATAAATTTTATTTTTTTTATAAAACAACATTTTTGGCGAATTAAGATATATTATTTCCAGTGGGGATCGATAAGAATCAGGATTTTACCTTTCACACTTAATAGTGTTTCTTTTTAGAGAGGTCAATGATCTAAGTAAAGCTTTTCTGTAACTACGGAAAAGCTTTTCTGTAACTAAAAAAAACTATGAATGTGAGAACAGATCAGTTTGTATAAGAGAACAAATAGAAAAGAAATGGCTAAAACTCTGGGGTATTTTCCAATGGAAAGATTGAAGTTCTACTTCTGCTTCTTCACTTAGCTAGCCCTTCTTAATTTAGTCTAATTGACAAATATGAAAATAAAACATCTTTGGCAAGCCGACACACTTATTTTCGCAGTGCCGTGTGCAGTTACTGCACTGGTGTCCTCCGAATCTTGCAGTATCTCAGCACTAGCCATGGGCAGAGCGGAGCGTGTAGGTGTGTTGGGAGCTAGCAAGGAATAAATGCAGGCCTCGAGGATTTTGTAGCTGGGTAGCTGGGCCCTACCAAGCCATGAATGAGTGAGAGGGTTAAACTCTCTGTAGAGGTCTGTATAATTTAGAAATAGAAACTGCTATTGGAAGTGACTTTCTGATTGGTAGAATGAGTGTTTGTGGGGAGAGTAGGAGGAGATGGAATTTGCCTACTTCTTTTCTCACCAAATCAGAGGTCGGTGGCCTAGTGCTCCTTTTCTAAATACTCTGCTTTTGCAAGAAGATTGTCCCTAATTTAGCGTCAGATTATACCAGGAGTAGATTATAAAACAGCCAATTGCTGGGGAGATGTTTATCAGTGAACCCTGGCTTTCCTCCTAGTAAGCCTCTTTAATTACAGGATGGTAGTCAGCCAGCAGATACTAGGCGTTATCTGCAGAGCATTTACATTGATTTCACTTTTAAAGATATAATTTCCTCCACTTCAGCTCTGGCTTTGCTTTGGTGCCTTTTGCTTTATGAGAAGAGTCACAGGAAGAGCAGTTTGAGAGTTTGAGTAGACTCGTGACGTGTCGAAAATTCATTTTGCAGTCTTTAGTCTCCATTAGCAAATCACATCTCTTTCTTAGAGCTTTTCACGTTGAATACTAACACCAGTGGTTGAATTTATCTGAGAAAGAACCAAATGTGTAGTATTTTACAAGAGTTACTTAGGTAGGTGTCAACCCACTCATCTGATAACGTAGTGGTTCCTATGTCAGTCCATTAACTGAATGACTCGCTTCTTCACCTTGGAGAGGATTCATGTTTGCCTTCTGCAAAAATGAGAATTACTGTCGGAGATTGCATTTTGGCTAATATTAAGGAATGATTGTTAATTTTGTTAAGTGTGATAATCATCTTGTAGTTACTTTTTTTGAAAGTCCCACTCTGTTAGATGTGTACCTGGAGTATTAATAGGGGAAGTGTTGGCTTTGCTCTAAAACATTATCAGCTGTAAAAGACCTGACATGGACATGTTATTAGGCAATGGTACTTATCGATGCTAAATTTCTTGAATTTAGTAATTGAACTGTGACTGCGTAAGGGAGTGGCTGTATTTCCTGAAGCGTTTAGGGGTAAAAGAGCATGATATCTGCAGTTTACTCCAAAATGGTTCAGGAAGACAAAATGTGAAGTCTTTGAGGGATAATTGAAAGGTGATTGACAAGATATTGCAAATGGTTGAAACTACACAATGGATGTATCGTTTACTCTCCACTGTGGTGTGTCATTCATTCATTTTTCAAAAATGAAATATAAAAGGAAAAAATTATTACATGAGCTTTGGATATTGTGAAGCATTTACACTGTGGGTGTGGGATTTCATCAGTGGTGGGGTTTTATGTACTTGGGAATTTTCAGATTGGCTTGCCTTTCATGGGAATATTTTTCCTCCCTAAGAACGCTACAAGACATTTCTTTCTCTTTGATAGAGTAAGAAGAAGAAGAAGACGGATTTTATTCCCTACAGGGATTCTGTACTTACTTGGCTCCTTCGAGAAAATCTAGGTAGGCTGACCATGGGTGTGTAATTAGCGTTTAAAGCTGTTACCAGCTATCTTTTGTTGTTAACCATCCTGTGTCTGTTTTGGAGAAGAATCATCTCGCCTGTCCATGTTACTGGCTTGAGCGCTCCTTTCCTTTTTCATTTTTACTCTTGACTTAATCTGGTTGAATTCACTCTCACAGTCATATTTTCGCCCATATTCTGTTGTCTTCAGAACATGAGCTTCGGGCATAATGGGCTTCCTGCCACACCCCTGCTCCAAACAATTGGTCCTTCTTCCGTTGTGAAAATCCCACGCTCCTGTAGGGGCATAGCATCCAGCATCATCTGCCTCTTACTCCTTTTTAGCTGATGCTGTTGCACCTCCCTGTCACTGCCCTTCCTTCAGTCACTGCCCTTTAGCCCCTTTCTCTCCCCTTGCTGGGAAGAAGGGAGTCATCTGGTGTCAAGTGCTGCTGCCTGAAGGAGCACCCACTAGGAGCCATGTGGGTGGGATGGCTGGGGTCCTGCCAGGAGGGGGTTCAGGAAAGCGGGAAGAGGGAAACTGAACACAGTAGACTGGACGCTGACAGTGAGTATGCCAGAGCCTGGCACGGTGATGGTCAAGGATTTTGACTAAATTCTGGGATCCAGGGTTGTGCTGTTTGATTTGACATAGCCAGTGAAATTCTTTTTGAGATGGTCGTGCTCATCCTTATAGGAGGCAATTCTCGGACTGCGATGGTGGCGGCACTGAGCCCCGCAGACATCAACTACGACGAGACCCTGAGCACTCTGAGGTACTGAGCAGGGTCTGCATGGATTTGCTGGTGCCGTGGGGCACTTCACATGGGGAGCAAGCTGTCCCTCCCATAGCGGGGGAGGCCTGGGAGAAAGGATTTTTATTATAACAAAATTTGCCTGTTTATGGTCGTCAGTTTCATTGAGCAAGGCGGGAACCTTTTCATAGGAAAGTCTTTAAAATGGAGATTTTGGATAACTTTTAGATAATAATAAATGTTTCTTATAACATTCATTTTTATAAAAGGAAGTGTCCTTTTTGTGCTGTTTGTCACAGAAATATTTGGGGCATTAAAAAGTAATACAATTATGAATATATGTAACAGTAAAAAGATAACTGCCAGAAAGTTCCCTGGAGTATTTCTGTAAAGAGTAGTTTCTGTGTCTGCAAATCAGTAAGTCATCTGAGCCTTTTTTCTCAGATTTAGAAAATACTACAAAGCTTTCAACAATTATATTACTCTTAAGACTCATAAAATGTGTAACTGTTCAAGCTGTTTGATTTAGAAATAATGGAATATTAGTTGTGAGAAGTAGAGCATCTAGGTGATGGGTCAGAGAATGAATTTTCTTTTTGGATCTAGATACGCAGATCGTGCAAAACAAATCAAATGCAATGCTGTTATCAACGAGGACCCCAACGCCAAGCTGGTTCGTGAATTAAAGGAGGAGGTGACACGCCTGAAGGACCTTCTCCGTGCTCAGGGCCTGGGCGACATTATTGACAGTAAGTGACCAGAGGGTCAGCACAGATTCCACTGCTCTGCTCAGCAGATTCGCACATTTAGATTTAAGGAACTCAGTGAAGCTAGGTGGTCGAGGAGGGTGTTTTTTGTTTTTGTTTATCCTCTTCTTAGAAGCCAAAGAAAATAATCTCAGAATTTCTTTATGTAGTAATTGCCAGTTATTCATTTGAACCCATGAAACTTTAAAACATGAATATGTCATTGCTTGTGTTTTTATTACATTTCTATTTGAAGTTTATTTGAAATGTTAACTTAGTGAGAAATTTAATCACTTCATAAAAATGTTTCTTATAATTTTGGTTTTCGCTCATGGGTTTCTCTGGATTAATGCAATGACAGCAATACATAGGCAAGACACCCACCGCTCCAGTCTCCTTTCAGATAAGGTCAGGGTGGCTTCCCTCCTGCCAAATGGCTGCAGCCCCTAACCCACTTCCTATGAACACATGAAGGGGAAAATATACAACTCTGAACAAGTTCAAAAATTAGACCTCCAGAAAGCATTGTTTTACAGTGTTGTCTTTAAATGAATCTTTTTTTTCAACATTTAGTGATTTGCCTATGTAATGTCTACTGAGAAATTCAATTAACTAGAGTACACTACATTATTCAGATAGGATAATGTATGGATTTATTTAATAAAGCATTTTGATTTTTTATTGTAAAATATATCGTTTAGCATTCTAATAAGATTTTCAAGACCTTTTCTAGTTTAATTCTTACTGATGAGCATCTCAGTTTCCATGAATACATTTTGTAAAATGATATTTTCTGTGTTAATTTTTTCATCTTCCCAAATGCCAAATACTGCCCTGTTCCCTCTCTGTGTCACTGCTGAATCTGAACTCTGACCCTTCTTGTGTTTTCCTCCTGCTTACCTCCAGTTGATCCATTGATCGATGATTACTCTGGAAGTGGAGGCAAATGTGTGTATTTCATGCATTGGTTATTTCCAGTACTCTGACTTGCTAACCTGCCTCTGCTGGATCAGCCTTAAAATGAGCTTTGCATGCCAGCAATCCTGACAGAGAAATCCCAGACAGAGCATATTGTAGATTCAGAAATGATCCTATTTTTGCCCTTTTCCACTTAGCACAGCAATCATGGCTGAATTTCAGTTTGTGGCTTGAATAAAATTGAGAGGCTGAAAGTCTCTGGCTGTTTCTACTCTTCAGTTTTTCCATTTATATGACTAAACTGAATCCAAAGTCATGGGTGATGATCGGAGTGTTTATGGCAGCTCATGTTCTTGGGCATGCAGTCCACACCAGGCCCTGGTCTGGGCACTGGGGCATATTATCTCCTTTAACCCTGTCACTGACTGAAAAGGTCCCAATAGGCCCATTTTACCACTAGGAACACTGCAGCTGAGATTGGGTCAGATTGGTTAGTATAATTCAGAGCCCTTGCATTGAATCATTTAATCATTATTACACCTTTTTTTTTCCCTCCCTGTGAGATTCTTCAGGGTATGAACATTTAATAGAAAAATCCTTTTTAAATTAACTATGTAATTTCTGAGCCTTAATATATATATATATAATTAAAAACAACCACTTCCAGGGGCCTCCCTGGTGGCGCAAGGGGTTAAGTCCCAGCACTATGAAGCTATCGACAGCCACTGCAGCATGAGTTTGATCCCCAGCCAGGGAGCTAACCCATATGGCGCAGCAGACCTCTTCTGTCTTGCCTGATGCTCCCCTCAGCAGTGTATTTCAGTAGATCCACCTGTTTTGCTCCCGACTCTGTCTCTGGTGAATCTTCTCACCCCTACCCCACACCCCTGGCCTACATCCAGCTCTTGTATGCATAAATAAGTAAAATAAATCTTAAAAACAACCAACCAACCACTTCCAGCTAGCCACACAATCCATGATTGAATAACTCTGACTGTTTCCTTAGCACTCAGCCCTGCTTATGCCAAATTGGTTTCCTCTGCACTTGGGGCCTCATTTTATTTTATGGTTAGGTAAATATCCCCCCCTTTCTATAAAATACAAATTAAATTTTAAAAACTTGGATGTCTCAAATGTGTTCTTGAAATGAGGACCTTTTATAAAGGATCGCACCTCATTATTTCTTCTATATAGATGAAGTTGATGAGGAAATCATTTCTTACCCTTTAAGATTGTTCATCAAGGAATTATCTTCAGTGAAAAATCTTGATTTTTATGGGTGAAGTTTGGGATTTTTACTGCTGTGTCAGCTTCTGTAGTCGGTAGTTCACAGGGCATGTGAGGAGACACGTAGGAGAAACAGCCACGGCTGTTGTGACGAGCCTGGGCCTCGAGGACACTGTCACCTTGGGCTGCAGAGGGACTCTTGGACTGGAAGGGCTCTGTCTGAGATTTCCAAAGCTGACCGAAGCTGGTGGGGACAGGCACCCTCTTGCTCTGCGTCTGCGCTTCAGCTGGTGCTGCCGCCTGCCGCCTGGCTCTTCTCCGAGCAGTTGCGGTGTCTCCCTAAGCGTGCATGACTGAGCCTCAATGCTGTGTTCAAGCAGGAAAACAGCCGTGGCTATTTCAGAATTTCATTTTTGATCCACTGCTCTTGATCCCTTTTAGGACTTGCATGTGTCCATTGGACCTTCTGAACTCCATCCATCCTACTTTTCCCCACCTTGCTGGCATCACCTGGTGGCTAATTATTTGCTCCAGTTCCCATCACCCTTTTAAAACTTGCTTGTTTTCCTATGTTCTGTATTTGCAGATGGTGGTTTTCAAACTGTCTTGAAGCAACCACTGATTTTAAGGGGCTTCAAGAACTGACTCTAAGTAGAGATAAATAGACCTAGAAAGAGCTAACATTTTCCCAGCTATTTATATTGACTTATATGTCGTTTAAGGAAAACTTACTTAGTTTTGATACGAGTTATAAGCAATGTAAAATTTCTCAAATAGTAAGAATGAGCTAATTTTAAAGGTCTGTAGCAACAGCTATGGCTGTGTCTTGTCTGGGCAGGATGACTAATGATGGAAAGCACAGATAGCAAAACAATAAATTTCATTGCTTGTGCCTCTTCTCACCAAATAAAAACAAAATTTGCAGTTCTACTAAGAACCTTCATAAATGAAAGTATATTCCCAAGACTTGCATTTGTACTGGGAACTAGGCTTACCACCAGTCTCCTGGTCATACTATTAGGCAAAGCAAGAGCCTTATTTAATTAGCAGATAATCAGCCAAAATATTTGCTTGCTCTGATAGATGAACATAAACTACACAAAATTCATTAATTTGCAGTTGTTCTTCCCTGCTGAGGTAAACAGTAGGCCCTGAGTTCTTAACCGAGATTTACATTAAATTCCTGTGATGCATATATATCAAATTTCTGTGAGATATATATATATATATATATATATATATATGCATGCACACACACTCCTTTATTTTAAAGGCATATTTTAAAATTCCATTTTAGCATATTGAAACATGGTTATACAAAGGGGATTATTATTAAGTGCTGAGATTCTTGTTTCAAATTGTAACCTTTTCTCGGGTAATTTTACTGAATTCCATAAAACGATAGACCGCACTGATAATGTATTATCATCATTTCCCCCTCTAAGTATTACAAACTAGTGGCGATTTAAGAGTGGTGTAAATCTGAAAGCAATGTAGATTTGGAGCCATAAAAGAAATAAAAGAAATGCCATGTGACCGCTTAGGGAGTGTGCCTAAGAGTGGCCTTAACCTCCTGCAGATGTTAACCCAGACTGGGATTTTTTAGACTCCAAATTTAGAAGTGATTCTCAGCCTCTGGGGTCCAGCATTAAAGACAGACATGTTTTAGAACTGCCATCTAGAACGGTTACAATCTGTCGTTATGATGACTGGTCTTTGTCTTGGCGCTTTAATGCTGTCCTTTCTTACACTGGTGTTCCTTCCTGTCTTTTTTTCCCCTCTGCTCCTTTCCCTCTTTTCCACTTTTTCTGCCTTCCCTTCTTTCTATCTCTCAGATCTGAAAGATTTTCAGAACAATAAACATAGGTACTTGCTAGCCTCTGAGAATCAACGCCCTGGCAATTTTTCCACAGCATCCATGGGGTCCCTCAGTTCATCTCCATCTTCCTGCTCACTCAATAGTCAGGTGGGCTTAACATCAGTGAGCAGTATTCAGGAAAGGATCATGTCAACACCTGGAGGAGAAGAAGCCATCGAACGTCTAAAGGTAAGTAATAATTCAGACTGAACACGAGGTAGTTTGTGTGGTGCCACAAGGCAGAATTGGGACTAGGAATCACTGAGGTTTTGGTTCAAGGAAGAATTTTCTCTCCTGTGAAGATGTTCCAGCTGCTTTGTAGGACAGTGTCTTTTGACCAGAAGGCTTGAATCTGACATGACCAGGAGAGAAGGGAGAGGTACGTGGGCAGATCACACAGATAATCTGAGGGAGTTTATAAGCAACAGTGAAATCATTTAGTTGAGATTTTAGGTGAAAGTTGACAAACTGGTTGGAAACATTTGGTTCATTTGAAGATAGAAACTGTGGAGTCAGGCCTCTGTCAGAAAAGTCAGTGCCCAGTTAGACCATGCAGGGAGCCAGGCTTCTGTTGAGTGAAATAAATGCACAATCAAAAGAAAGTTAGAACGTTCAAGTAGCTGCACCAGGCTTATTCAGAGCAAATGTGAAATGATGTTCTGGAAGTTCATAGAAAGTCTTGGACTCCTGTGGTGGCTGCCTGCTCCTGTGTGGGTACACACGGGAGGGGGCACAAGGAGGGCAGGGCAGCTCTGAAGGAACTGGGCACCTGCAGACCTGATTCTGCTCACATGCCCCTCGCGCATCCCACAGCCGCTGCTGATGCCATCCCCGGGGCCAGGCACCCTGGCGGTGATGGCACGCCTGGCCCAGCCCCTTCAGTCCTGAGGGGTAGTCGGCCTCATTGAAGGTGGCGGGTTATTTCGTTTGGGTTTTCAGGTGAGGGTGGAAAAGATTTTATGTGAAGAAAGGGCTTCTGCTTCTAAATCAGCCTCCCTTTACTTCAACACTTTATTCACTTCCACAATGAGGTACTTCAGAAACAAAACTGGTAGTGGGTGAAGCTCTATGAACTACCTGGGAAAGGGAGAGGGAGTGAGCAAGCTTTTCTTAGATGCTGTGGGTCCTGTGAATTATACCTCAATAAAAAAACAAAACCAAAAAATTGCTAAAAAAAAAAAATAAATAACACAAACAGAAGGGTAGTTGCTGCTGCTGTAAAACCACGTGACAAGTGAGGGCAACGTGGCCAGGCCCTGGCGGGAAGCTCTGCGGGTATGTTTTATGGCAAAGGCTCTGGTGATAAGTTTGCTGAGCAGGCGTCTTTTCAGAGCCAAGGAGGAGAGGGGGGCCTCTGTGGGGAGAGTGGGGAACTCTCCCACACATTTTTCTTTGGGGATTTTGAATCTTACTATGTGCTTGTTAAAACCTTAGTATAGAAATGAAATTACACTTTTCTATAACATACATCTTGGTGTAAAAGAAATTCTGCCAAGTCGGACCAACTTAAAATGCTGAATGTTACAAGTCAGGACGTTAACCAGACTCTCTAAGAATTAGGTCACCCGGTGTCTTCCAAGTAGTTTCTAGGGAATAACACTGCCACTGTTCAGACACCGCCCCCCGTGTTGCCTTCCCACCAAAGCCCAAACCAAACCAAACGGTATTACTTTCTCCAGAAAATATAGTTCTCTGTTCTACTTCTCTTTTAAGCCAGCACAAATGGAATCTTCCATTCTCCCTGGCTTTAGAAAATAGCTTTCTGGGGTTTTACATTAAGTCTCAGGTTCTGAACAGAGCGTGGCAGATGCCTTAGTTCCGCTGTTATGTTTGAATGGCGAGAACGGGGCTCTGCAGACCTGCATGTCAATGCTGCGGGCAGAGAGCAGCCCGGGCCCCAGCCAGGCGGCTCGAACATGCTTGAGAATCTCTCATTTGTGGTACTGTTTCATTGCTGAGTGGGAAGGGGCTACACCCCTAAGACATGACAGCACAGGAGGAAAAAGATTTTAATGGAAAACTGTAATAGAGGAGGTTAATTCATTTCCCTCACATTTAGTTTCCCTTTGCTTCTTTTTATTTTTGATCAAAAAAATATTAGTTGGTAGAATCCTTGTACATGGAGCGTAGCTGCTGCTTCACTGAATAGCCCATTTCCATATGGAAACAGCCTGCATTACCCCATCATAAACTCCAAAGGGCCCGCCACAAAGCTCTTGGGCAAAAGTGTGTGCTGTACAATTGCTCTCACTATTTGGTCCTAACTCCTTGATTTGGATCCTAGTTCGATACGGTTTTAAACATGTATCTGCAGCCACAGTGTGGTGACGCTGGTGTTTATTTATCAGCTTGGCATCAAGTCCAGGACTGTGAGTGCCAGTGCTTAGGCTTCGGCTATAAATACCCGCACTTATCAATTCTAGAAGCACCACAGGGAAACGCAGCACTAGGTAGCCTGGAGGCCTCACACTTGGACTGGCTTACGGGACATGCCGTGTCCAGCGCAGTAAAACCGGGGCTGTCTGGTGACTTCAGGGAATGTTCCATTTAATAAGCATTTAACCTTTTAAAATCATAACTTTAACTATATATTTTTTTTTACTTTTTTTTTTATAATAAATTTTATTTTTATATTCCCCATACAATTTCAACCCCCCAATTTTGACCCCAATCCCTCCCCTCCCTCCACCCCCCCCCCAAAAGTGTCTGTGGTTCATAGATTTTTGTTGATTTTGATTTTCACTTTCTTATAGTTATTCATTTTCCTGGTCCCTTATTTAAGTTTTCTCTAGATTCCTGCTATGAGTGAGACCATCCGGTATTTTTCTTTTTCTTTCTGGCTTATTTCGCTGAGCATGATCCCTTCCAGCGCCATCCATGTTACTGCAAATTGCATGTGTTTATCTTTTTTGAATGCTGAGTAATATTCCATGGTATATATGGACCACATCTTCTTGATCCAGTCATCTATTTTTGAGCATTTGGGCTGTTTCCAAAGCTTAGCTATTGTAAATAGTGCTGCTATAAACATAGGGGTGCAGGTGTTCTTTGGAATTGATGTTTCTGTGTCCTTTGGGTAAATACCTAGGAGTGGAATGGCTGGATCATATGGAAGCTCTATGTTTAGTAGGTCCAGAAATCTCCACACAGCTCTCCATAGTGGTTGGACCAGTTTGCACTCCCACCAACAGTGCAGAAGAGTTTCCTTTTTTTCCACACCCTCGCCAACATTTGTCATTGCTAGTTTTTTTAATATGTGCTATTCTCACTGGTGTAAGATGGTATCTCATGGTAGTTTTGATTTGCATTTCCCTGATTACAAGTGATGTTGAACATTTTTTCATATGCCTGTTGGCCATTTGCATTTCCTCTTCAGAGAAGTTTCTTTTTAGCTCTTCTGCCCATTTTTTCACTGGATTATTTTCTTTGTTGTTGTTGAGTCTCATCAGCTCTTTGCAGATTTTTGTGATCAATCCTTTATCATTAGTGTTGTGTGCAAAAATGTTCTCCCAGTTGGTGGGGTTTCTCTTTGTTTTTGTTATTGTCTCTTTTGCTGTGCAGAAGCTCTTTAATTTGATGTAGTCCCAGCTGTTGATCTTTGCCTTCACTATCACTGCTTTGGGTGATGTGTCTGTAAGATGTCTTTGATGTGCAAATCACGTAGTGTGTTCGCCTATATTTCCTTCTATGTATTTTTATGGTTTCAGGTTTTATGTCTAGTTCTTTAATCCATTTTGAATTGGTTTTGTGTATGGTGTGAGGTAGTAGTCAAGCTTCATTCTTTTGCATGTAGCGCCCAGTTTTTCCCCAGCACCATTTATTGAACAGACTTTCTTTGCTCCAATGCATAGTCTTTGCTCCTTTGTCCAATATTAGTTGACCATAAATCTGTGGGTTTATTTCTGGATTTTCTATTCGATTCCATTGGTCTGTGTGTCTGTTCTTGTTCCAATACCATGCAGTTTTGATGATTATGGCTTTGTAGTACAGCCTGAAATCTGGGAGTGTGATGCCTCCATTCCCTTCTTTTTTTTTCAGGAGAGCTTTGGCTATTCGGGGTTATTGGTGATTCCATATGAATTTCATCAATAATTGTTCTATTTCTTGAAGAATAACAGTGAAATTTTTATTGGAATAGCATTGAATCGGTATATTGCTTTTGGTAGGATGCCATTTTAATAATGTTTATTCTTCCAATCCATGAGCAGGGGATGTCTTTCCATTTCTTTGTATCTTCTTCTATTTCTTTTAACAGTGTTTTATAGTTTTCTTTGTAAAGGTCCTTTACCTCTTTTGTTAGATTTATTCCCAAGTATTTGATTTTTTTTGTTTCGATACTAAAGGGGATGGTTTTTTTCATTTCTTCTTCTTCAGATTTATTGTTAGTGTATAGGAAGGCTTCTGACTTTTGCATGTTGATTTTGTATCCTGCCACTTTGCTGAACTGATTGATGAGTTCAATTAGTTTTTCTATGGAGTTTTTGGGGTTCTCTATGTATATTATCATATCATCTGCAAATAGTGATAGTTTGACTTCTTCTTTTCCTATTTGGATTCCTTGTATGTCTTTCTCTTGCCTTATTGCTCTGGCTAGGACTTCCAGTATTATATTGAAAAGCAGTGGTGAGAGTGGACATCCTTGTCTTGTTCCAGATCTTAATGGAATTGCTTTCAGCTTTTCACCATTGAGAATGATACTGGCTGTTGGCTTGTCATAGATGGCCTTTATGATGTTGAGGTATGTTCCTTGTATCCCAGAATTTCAAGGCTTTTATCATGAATGGGTGTTGCACTTTGTCGAAAGCTTTCTCGGCATCTATTGATATTATCATATGGTTTTTATATTTCTTTTTGTTGATGTGTTGGATAACGTTGATTGATTTTCGGATGTTGAACCATCCTTGTGTCCCTGGAATGAATCCTATTTGGTCGTGGTGAATTACCTTATGGATACACTGTTGGATTCTGATAGCTAAAATTTTATTGAGGATTTTTGCATCAGTGTTCATTAGGGAGAATGGCCTATAGTTTTCTTTTTTTGTGTTGTCCTTGTTCGGTTTTGGTATTAGTGTAATGTTGGCTTCATAGAACGTGTTAGGTATTATACCTTCCTTCTCAATTTTTTGGAAGAGTTTGTGAAGGATAGGCACCAATTGTCTCTGAATGTTTGGTAGAATTCATTTGTAAAT